ATAAATAAATAAATAAATATATATATATATATATATATATATATATATATGTATGTATATATATGATATATATAAATATCATATATATATATATATATATATATATATATATATATATATATATGTACATATACACATAAATGTACATATATTCATACACACAAAGATCCGAGCATAAATAAAAAAACACAGAAATACACATGAATACAAAGTTATACTAAAAGACATTTAATATGCTTACTTACGGCTCTGAGTCCTGGACAATTTCTAAAAAAATGGAAAAAAATGATTAACGCTGCTGAGATGTGGTTTTTGAGAAGAATTATGAAAATTAGTTGGACCTCTCATACTTCGAATGAGGATGTATTAAAACAGTCCGGTTAGGAAAAGAGGAAATTACTACAGATAATCCGACGGGGGCAGTTAAAGTTTTTTGGCCACATCATGCGGAAGGAATGAATGGAAAATCTAACAACGTCTGAAAAGATTGCAGTGAAAAGAGATCGCAGTCAACAACGAATAGCATTCGTGAAGTCCTTTTGTCACTTGTTGATCTTCAACACATTTCAACCACTTCAAGAGCGGGTTAAAGATCGGGTTTTGTGGAGGTCCATGGTCGCCAATGTCCTCAAAGGATAAGCCACGAGAAAGAAGAAGAATACAAATCCTCTTAAAAAATATCGATACATACATAAATACATACATACATGAATACATGCATATATAAATATAAAAAAACAATTCATACATGATATATATATATATATATACATCCCATTTATACAATATGTATGTATATGTGTAGTATATATATTACAAACAAAGAATAAGGAATTATTTAGCTATTGGAAAAAAATTTGTTATTCCTATCGACAGAAGCCGAATTATTATTTATTTTTTGTTGCAGTTATTATTATTATTATTGTTAATAATGTTGTTGTTGGTTGATGGTATTTTCGTTATTTTTATTATTTTTGATTTTTTGTATAGCACCCTTCATAACTACCACATCAAAGCAATTATAAACAAACATACGTACACATTCTACAACAAATGTGTGTGTATATGTGTGTGAGTATGTGTATGTATGTGTGTTGGTGTGTGTGTGTCTTCTGTGTGCGAGTGTTTGTTATTGCAAGATGTTTTGATATAAGAGAATTTTTTTCTGAAATATCTCAATCAAGATCCAAACATTCAGACGAACATACTCACAAACGCACACAAACATTGTACATAATAAAAAAACAGAGGCGCGAAACGAGACAGCATAGATGAGAATTTTGAGTATGATGGGATGGGTTGACTTAGCCTTCGAAACCGGTCACTCTAATTTTGAACAAATCTGATCAAATAAAAATACAAATTCATACAACACCTACATCCACACGCGAACGTATAAACACACAAATTATAGTCACACACACACGCACACCACACACACACACACGCACACACACGCACACACACCACACACACACACACACATTGTAATGTGTTGTATTGTATATTTCCAGATTAAATTGTATTGTATTATACAGTTATACAATAAATTTCATCGATCCGTTTAGTATATTTTTTTATTGTATTAAAAGGTATTTTTTTGTGTTGTATTTCGAGGTATTTTGTGGCAATTTTTGGATTTCATGCTGTATTAGCTAACATCAATTTTTTAAACCGCATAACTGTAGGAGTGAAATAGCTTAACATTCAGTCAGTATACTTACATACATTTATGTATGATGTATGTTTGTATGTATGTATGTATGTATGTATATATATATATATATATATATATATGTATATATATATGTATGTATGTATGTATGAATATATTTATAACTATGTATTTGTATGCATATGTAACTATATGTACATACATGTATTTTATTTATATATATATATATATATATATATCATTACCTGTCTATCTATTCTAGACTATGATTATCATTCTTTTGTTTTATTTTATGTGTATTTTGTATTGTATAAATGGAAGTATGCTTGCATGCATGTAGGTATGTTTGTGTATATGTATGTATATGTGTGTGTGTTTGTGTGTATGTAAGTATTTGCTTATGTTTGTATCTATGCCTATACATGATGAAGTCGTAAGAGTATGTTTATTTACTCACATATGATGTGTTTTGTTGAAATTTAGTATAAATAACACATATACATACATAAATACGTATATATGTGTATGTGTATGTATTGTATGAAATTTCAGAAAATTCTAGTAAGGAAAATTGAAAAGGCAAACTTTAAATTGATTAATACCAACAATTCGGTAGAATTCATACAATACTGTATGAAAAAATTGTCTCCTTCCAACACATACACACACACTCACACACACACACTCACAAACTGTGTGTGTGTGTGTTGGAATTAATAATAATAAATATAGTGTTGTATATATGTATATATATATATATATATGTGTGTGTGTGTGTATATATATATATATATATATATATATATATATAATGATCTATTCAGTCCTTTACTAACATCTCCCCTCTATTGTTCTTCAACATCTCCCACCAATTTCTTTACAACTCTCTCTCTTTCTCTCTCTCTACACTTCCCTATCTCTAATTTTGTTTCCCTCCTTCACTCATTCACTCACTCATAGTGCCAATGTATTTTTTATGTTTTGCTTTTTCGGGTTTGATTTGTTTTTTTGTTGCTTTTGCGGTTTGGTTATTGTTTATGTTTATGATTATGTTGTTGTTGTTGTCTATGTTGTTGTTATCGTCTATGTTGTTGTTGTCTATGTTGTTGTTGTTTAAGTTGCTGTCTATGTTGTTGTTGTTTATGTGGTTGTTGTCTATGTTATTGTTGCCTATGTTGTTGTTGTCTGTTGTTGTTGTCTATGTTGTTTGTTTGTGTTGTTGTTGTTGTTGTTGTTTATGTTTGTGTTGCTGGCTGTGTTTTTTTTATGTTACT